AAAGGTGAAGCCTCAAGCAAATTATCAATGCAGTGCTAAACGAGACAATTTGCAATTTGTTGCCTTATCATGGTCCGTCCTCCGCACCCCCTCCCCTTCAGGGGAATCCGAGAATGGCATTCGCCTTCTTGGTGATGGCCTGCGCGCCCGGCGACGCATCCGCACTGCTCACAAACGGCGCCAGACCCATCGCCTGCCGCGCAGCCTCGCCCACAATCGCCGACGCAGGCGGCCGGTTCACATGCTCGCTCTCGCCCTTGCCGCCGGGGAAATCCGGACCCGGGAGGCCCATCAAAAAGGCCTCGCGCTGGCGCGCCAGGTAGCGCGCATTGACCTCGGTCAGCGGGCACACGGGGATGTACAGCACGCTCGAGTCGCCCGTGCCGTTGTGCACCTTGTCGACGGCGTGGATGCCGTCGCAGTGCCAAACGACAAAATCGCCCGGCGCGACCTGCGGTACGTGGACCATCGTGCGGGCGAGTTCCAGGTGGGGGTGCAGCGGCTCGTCGTTGGGGCCCTCGGGGAACTCCTGGCCGTGGCCCGGTGTGGCGCCCTGCAGGTCCGACGTCATGGCGGCGCCGCCGGTGAACTCCCAGTTGGCCGCCGACAAAAAGTCGGCCGAGGACGCCGGCAGGCTACTGCTGCTGCTGGCGGCCACCTTGGGCCGGAAGAAGGGCCGCAGCAGGGTGTACACGGTCGCCAGCTTCGCCAAGGGGTACACGAGCAGCGTGCCCTGGCGCGGGCCGACGTCCGAGATGCTCAGCCAGCCCTGGAACGTGCGGAACACGCTGCAGGCGCCGAGGCCCGCGTGCAGGTCGCAGACGGCGCCGGCGCGCTTGCCCGCATCCCATGCATCGTAGTCCTCCCACCGGCCCGCAAACACCTCGTCGTACACCTTGCCCAGGCCGTACCCGGCCGGCTCCCACCGCTCGACGCTGCCGCCGTCCTGGTGCGGGCCCAGGGCAAAGCGCGCGTCGCCCGGCTGGCGGATGCGCAGGCGGTCGGCATACATGGTCGGCTGGCTGATGTCCACGGGCGCGTGCGGGTCGGACACGTGCCACAGCGCCTGCATCAGCCGCTTCTGGGTCGCGACCAGGTGCGGGTGCCCCCGCGCCGCCAGCTGCGCCGCCGACCAGTACAGCTCGTAAACCTGCGGGTTCTCGGGCGGGAACCCGCGCGTGGCTTCCTTGTTCTCGGCAACGTATGCCTCAATCTGGTCCTTGTAGGCGCGCGCTTCGTCGCGCGGGATCACGCCGCGCACCACGGCCACGCCCCGTTTCTTGAGCTCCTCGTGCTTCGCCTTCAGGTCCTCCTCGAGGTGGGAGAACCGCAGACTCGGGATGACGTCCGGTCCCAGCCGCGCAATGGTGTCGTTTTCCGTGCGCAGTACGTCGAGGAGACGGTGCCAGCTAGCCACGATCTGGGCCTCGTCGTGGTCGGCCACCAGCGAGAGCTTGAGCTGCCGGTAGCGGTCGGGCAGCGGTGTCGCGTTGAGGCCCGAGAGCGAGGCAAACGAGTCGGAGATGTCACCCTCGCGTTTCTTGCCCGGTGCTAGCATTGACGGTGGCGGCGACGGTGGAGACATTGTCGAAGTTGTCAAAGTAGACGCCATGGAGGCCATGTTGATGCAGCGAACTTGTGTGAAACGGGCGAGGTGGGATACACGGGCAGTCGATTTTAACGCGCCCGGTCGCAGGAGAATGTGAATTGCTGAAGACATTGAGACGGAGAGAAAGGAGAGGAACGACGGAACTAAATAGCACAAGTCCGTTGATAACGGTCGAGGTCGTCACCAGGACGTCAAGCGATGAATGTTGTGTCTCAGTGTAACGTTGGATGGGCCAAAACTGTCAGTGTCAAGGATATGCAAGATCTCGAGAACGAATCCAAAGGATACACCAATGTAGCCACGAGACGACGGACTCTATTTATTGGGATGGCCTGGCAGTGGTAGTTTGTAAACTGTCTGGAGACTTTTCACCTGCCAAGACCGATGCCATGCTTTGGAGAATGTCGGAGTTGTGTTTTCGGGCAATCTGCTCTGGAATCGCTCTCGGTCTATCAGCCAATACGGTATTCTTTACTTGAAGGCCATTCATGCCATTTGGAGCTGGCCGGGTCTCACGATCGCATTTGGTCGTTTCTCATGAGGGTGTAACATTGCCGTCGCTGTCATCCTTGCCGTAGCTCTCGTTGGCGTATTTGGGCTCTTGGTACCATCTTACTTTTCGTTTTCATCTCTTCCCCGTTTCCGAGGACTGAAGGATGTCGCCACGTGTGGTGCGCGTTGGTGTGTCCTCGGCTGGTGTTATGTTTTGCCCTTTGACGTAACGAAGGAGGCCGGAGTTGACGCTTTTGTCGTAGTGCGCAGAGCGTGCTGCGTGATTGGCTGGCGCTTTTGTGCGGAGGTGCTAAATCAAGAAAGCCTCCGCCGCCGCCATTTTCGTCCTGATTTTTTCGAGGGAAGGAGCGAGGCGGCCACCTGAGCAAATTTACTGAAGTCGGCAAGCACGTCGACACGGCAAGAGCGATTTGGAACATGCCATCTGTGGAAAGTGCGATTGAAAGAAACGTACGATACGGGCGTTCGTGAAGGCACGATCGAGCGACGCAGGCCCCCTTTCCACCGTTCCATCGCATTGGCATAATTCATCGAGCAAAACCCTTCATCACCAACTTGCATCCTCCGCCAACACCCCCACCGTTCCTGTCGGAGTCAAACGCAACACGGTCCTTCCTCCCCTGAAGGGCCCCGGTTCTACCCACCTTGTTTCTTCTTCCTCTCTCGTCAGCCGCCAAAAGCCGTCGATCCAGTGCAGCTCCTTCGAGCCTTTGGGAAACTCCGACAAAAGGACGACCCCAGACCTTCGAGACACTCAGCGCATCACTCCGATACCCTCTCTTTCTAGATCTCGCCCTGTCGTGCGACATATACTCCGACGCACTATGGCGTCCGCCGTCCCTTCCTCGACACCCGTCAAATGGGTGGCCTCCGACCACGACGGACTGCCCATGAAGAGAAAACAGGTTGCACAGGCATGCGAGTCATGTCGCAAGCGCAAGGTGAGACTACGTTACCTCAGCCTTCTTTGGCTCTGTTTTGAACCGGTTGCTGACCTCACTTGCCGTCAGAAACGATGTATCCACACACAAGATGCCGATGCATCTTCGCGGCCGGGCACGGCTGCTGGCGGCCCGGGTGCCGGTTCCACGACGGGTCGTAAGCCGGGCCACCCTCATGTGGCGTCGGCCGACGACGAGGATGCCACACAGGTCGCCGCCAACCGGCTGATGGAGCTGTCGTCGTCGCGTTTTATCAGTGATCTCAACCCGGAGGGCATGTTCATCCAGGCGGCCACGCCGGCCCTGAAACCAGAAGGCGGCACGACCTACCGCGACAAAAACGACTTGGGCGTATGGTTGCCGCCGTATGCACAACGAGCACAGGAGGATGGCGGTAGTGGGAGCGGTGGGGAAAACGGTGAAGGCGACGACGAGTATGGCGACGACGAGACCGGACGGACTGACCCGGCGGGACCCAACACGCTGACTGGTCAAGGAGGTAGCAGTACGAGCAACCAGAACTACAGCCAGAGCCAGAATGCGGGGCCCCGAGACGACAGCGCCCGTAACCTGATCTCGCAGTTTGGCGGAATGAACGGGCTTGCCAGCGGTGTCAGTGCAAACAGCAACCACATTGGGCCAAGCTCCGGGCCCGGAGTAAGTACCGGTACGGGCAACGCAGGACTTCACAAACAGCGCCGCCGCAGTCGAATTCCAAACCGCCGTCCCAACTTTGGTGCCCGGTCTGCCGTCTCCGATGCTGCGCTCGCGTACGAGCGGGCCAAGTACACGTTTATCAAGGAGTGTCTCACTATCTATCCACCCGACGAGGACTTCGCTGTGCTGCATCGCATTTACTGCGAAAAGGTGCATCCGTTGCTACCCGTTCTCAAAGACATTGACCTGCAACGCGCATCCACCGCGCCAATGTCACCGTCTCCTGCTCCAGGGCCATCTGGAGCCGTCCCATCGGCCTCTCCCACCAAGTCTGCCCCTTCCACAAACTCCCCTCGCCCGGGACACCCACCACAATCCGCCTTCACTGCCTCCATCTTCCCCACCGTTGTCAAGCAGATCATCGCACTGGCAGCCGCCTTGACCGATGGCGAGTCCGCTGCGTCACATCTCCGCCTCGAACCCAATGGACCACTGCTCACACCCCAAGAGTTCCACTACCGTCTGACCGACGCTGTCTGGATCATTCTTGACGCCGACATGATTCCCCACCGCTTCGATTACATCCGCGCCACCATCCTCCTTTCCTTCTTCTATCAGCCGACAGTTGAGGTCGACCGCAACAAGCCCAGTTTGTTGTGCACCCAGGCCGTCCACCATTTCCAGACCATTGGTGCCCACCTTCTCGGCTACCGGCCGGAGCAGCCCGATGACGACGTCGAACGTGTCTTTTGCGCGCTGTGGGCGCTCGACCGCGTGGCGTCCGTCCTGTATGCGCGGCCTTGCATGATGCACCACATTGACAACGGCAAAGACCCGGAAGAGTGCATGGTCAACCAGCCGCCGTGCTTTCGCCTCTTCATGTCCGTTATTTTCTGGCTCGACAGGGTCATTGTCCTCTACCGCCCACGCCAACCCTTTGTCATGATCGACATCCCCGTCTACGAGGCTCTCATCCTGGATGCCCAGGCCGAAAAGCTGCCGCCTATGCTGCTGGGCACCATTGAGATTTTGTACCATACGGTGTGCGTCCTGTCCTGCCGCCAGCCGCTGAGTGCGTTTTCGGAAGTGTCCGATACGGCCACACTCAACCGCGACGACCGCACGTACCTGCCCATCTCCATTATGAACCCGCGCCGTTCGCACTCGTCGGACCGCATCGTGTGGGTCACGCAGACGCAGCCCATCTGCCTCTTTCCCTATGTGCCCTACGCCGTGTCCATTGCGCTCAGTGTCCAGTACAAGAAGATGCGCTACAGCCGCACGCCGCTGTTCCGCACGCGCGCCCGCATCGGCTTCAAGGACATTGTGGCCCTGCTGCGCAGCATGGGCGATGTGTTTCTGAATGCGCGCGTGAATGCGGCCCTGGGCGAGAGCATCTGGCGGCAGATGGAGAAGACGGCGTCGACGCTGGCGCGGGAGGAGCTGGAGGCGGCAGGTGGTAGTGGGGGCATTACAACTACTGCTGCTGGAGCGAGTGCCGCCGGGGGTGCCATGGGGCCGCCGCCCGTTCCCGCCGCAGCTACCTCTGATGGCAGAGTGGCCAAGAAAGCTACGTTCAATTTTCCTGCCAGCACGTCAGCACCGGCTTCTTCCGCGCCGTCGACCATCACTTCAGGAACAGTCCCTGCTTTCGTCTCGTCTTCTGTTTTATCCTTGGCCCCCGCAACGTCTCTTCCTATGTCAGGGACAGTCACAGCAGGTGACGCACCAGAGTCGACAACCTCTACAACCGCTGCAGGAACTGGCGTACCATCGCCGGCAACGGCTTCGGGTTTTGGACACAACGTGTTTGAGTTTGCAAATGGCAGTGGCACCAATAGCACCGACGGCAACACTCATATGATCACCGCATTGTCCTCCCCAACCACGACAGCAACAACGAACACATCTGCCATCACCAACACCACAATGTCCACAAACTCCACAAGCACTAACACGATACAACCTCATCTGCCGCAAGGAGGAACTAACGAGATCGTCCCTACCACGACGGAAGCAGCAGGAGACACGCCTGTCACGGGAGCAGGGACGACGTCAGCACACCTATTCCCCCAACAGCTGCCACCGCCTTCGCTGCATCAACAGCAGCAGCAGCAGCAACAACAACAACACCAGCTACACCAGATGGACTTGTCTGTCCTCGACAGCCTGGACACCGACATTGACCTGTTTGGCAATTTTGACCCGAGCTTTGACCTGGGCGCCATTGACACGGCGCTCGAGGCCAACCTGGACATGGCCATTCCGCAGAATTGGACACCCTGGAACAATCTTGTGTAGAGGAGGAGTCATTGTACGCCCAGTGAGCAGCGAGCGCTGCCGCGAAAGTCGTACGTTGTACGTCGTTGCCGTCTTCATTCTGTGGCCTCGTCGTACGCGATTGTTGATCAGGAACGAGCATGATAGAGGAGCGAGGATAGCAGTGACCAGACGAGAACGGAAAGCCGGATCGCAGGGGACGATGAGTGGGAAGCGATTACGGAAGCCTGGTTTCGTGAGCCGTTTTGGGTCGAGAATATGCCTTGACTAGGCAACTTTTTGGTGGACAATTGATGGTCAGACAGAAGTGGTTGTGCTTCTATTTTTGGTTTAAAGTGCAGCGATAGCAATGGCGTCTGGGTGAAAGTGGTTTTCATCTTCTAATTTCACTATTCTTTTTTCTTTTCTTTTTTCTTTTGTTTTCGTTCTGCTCCTGTACGGCATACCTAAGATACGACGTACATACCTGACGCTTTTCTAACAAATTTCTGTTTCAATCACGCAAGATGATCAGCCCCTTGTATTGTCCAGTCGCCCCAGTCGTCCCGTGTTTGCCCATAACCTGCCTCTCGTCCGCGACCTTCTACGTCCATTCTCCTACCATGTTTGGTCGCCGACTTG